AAAAATGTTTTTTTCGAAATTTTTTTTTTCAATTTAAAAATTTTCAAATTTTCAGAAAAGTCTTGAAAAAAAAATTTTTTTTCAAAAATATAGAATTTTCGATTTTTTTTTAATTTTTTAATTTTCTAAATTTCTAAATTTTTAAATTTTTAAAGTTTTCTAATTTTCAGAATTTTTGAATTTTCTAAATTTCTGAATTTCCCGCCAAACTCACTGGCTCAACAACTTCTTTGCGTCTACAGCAGGCCCGCGGTTCAGAAATCTTGAGGTATACTGTACCGGACTCGGATTACTGTAGAGTTTCCTTATCGCCGAGACACCTGGATACGGTGGCGGCGGTGTCGCCCGTTTTGGGATTACTGTAGGCAGTGGATTCCACGTTCTTGGCGGTAGCACCACTTTGGGCACCTTTTTCGGCGATTTCAGAATCAATTTCTCGGGTTTCGGCTCTTCAAACTCCTCCGTTTTGACTTCAGAAGTCGTCAAAATGACGTCTTCTGTGGATTTCTCAAAAAATCGATAATCGATTGGGCGCAGCGGACCATCATATTTCCATTCCTTCGGATTCGGTTTCGGCGGATTCAATGCCAGCTGTCTTGCTTGATACTCTTCCAGTTTTTCATCGATTTCGCGTCTGAAAAAAAAAAGTTTTTCAAAAAATTGAAATCTTTAGGCTCCGCCCACTTTTGGCCACGCCCTCCCCCGTTACCTGGCTTTCAGAAATTCCTCGGAAACCGGCTTTTTCTTTATGTTAATCTTATTCTGGCGCACTTTTCTCAGCTCCCGGCGATATCTGAATTTTTTATTAAAAAATCGATAATCGATTGGATTATCTGAAATTTTCGAAAATTGTCAAATTTTCGTTTTTTCCAGGTCAAAAATTTACGAAAACTATCGATTTTCGGTACCGAAAATCGATAAAATCGCTTAATTTTCACTTTTTAACACCGAAAATCGATAAAATTCTGAAAAGTTCGATTTTTCGATCTACTTTGAATCATTCTTTCGAATCATCAATGAAAAATTCGCCATTTTTTCGGATTTTTGACAAAAAACGAGCTAAAAATATGACTTTTCATTCAAAATGAAGAAAATGGGGTTTTCGGCCGAAAAAATCGATAATCGACCGAATTTTGGTTAAATAGCTCATTTTTCATGATTTTCAAGCATAAATGTCTGAAATTTTCAGTTTTTCCGCTCAAAATTACTACATTTCGACTTTTAAAATGCTGAAAATCGATAAAATCCTGAAAATTTGAATTTTCAGTCAAAAAAAATCGATAATCGAATTGCAAAATTTTCGGATTTTCCCTGTAAAAGTCGTCAGAATTGAGATTTTCTCAGAAATTCATGCAAAAAATCGATAATCGACCGAATTTTAACGAAAAAGCTTGTTTTTTTGTGATTTTTGCGGCTAAATGACTTTGAAAATTCAATTTTTCCGCTCAATCGCTCAGTTTAGACTTTTTAAACGCAGAAATCGAACATTTCGATGTTTGATCTACTCACAAATACGGGAATAGGTCCGCGTTGGGACGCGGCTCCGCAGAAGACGATTCTGCCGATTGCTCAGCTTTCTTTCTCGAATTTTCTGGATTTTTTCGACGTCGCCCAGCTGTTTTATTCGTTTTCTTCGTACTGTTCCCCTTCTGAATCCCCTCGACGTCTTCTGATTCCGAAGTCTCGTGCTTCTCGTCCCAATGATGCAGAATCAAACTGCCAGTCACGATTCCCGACTGATCAAACTCCAATTCGAATTCGTCGATCAATGTTTGCTTTATCGATTTTTCGGGACGAATCGATAATGCGAAATAGAGATCCGCCTTGTCCAAAAGTGTCAAAAATTCGAGATCGTGAAGTTTTCGAATGTTCTCGTGGTAGCTGGAAAAATAAGAAAAATTTAGGACTGAAAAATTCAAAAATCCGTCGAAAATGAGCAAAGTTATGGGGGTTTTTAGTTTTGGTGGCCTAGAAATCCAAAATTATGGATTTTCTAGGCCATCGAGCACAGAATTTGAATTTTTCGGTCTTTTTTCTAATTTCCTGGCAAATTTCGGGATTTTTAGTGAAAGAAAACATTGAAAATCGGTAAAATTAGGCGGTGACCTAGAAATCCGGATTTCTAGGCCACCAAACGCGGAATTTGAATTTCTAGGTTATTTTTACTCATTTTTCCTTCTAAAATCAATAAAAATGATCAAAAATTCGAATTTTCTAGGTTGGTGGCCTAGAAGCCCTAAATTTTAGGAAAATAAGACTTACTTTGCCCTACAGGAAATCGGATTTTTGGCTCCGCCCACAAATTTCGAGCATCTCTTCCAGAAATCCTTCGAACCCAAATTCACTCGATTCTTTGCCACTCGACCCAGCCGTTCCGGATTCTCACTTCGAATTTGGCTCAAGATGAACTCGAAAATCGCTAAACTTTGATTTTCGCTGAAAATTCCCGCGGATTCTTCGCATTTTTGAATTCCCGCCGCTTCGAAATCATCGTCATCGTCGATTTCTGCAAAAAAAATGACTGAAAATCGAGAAAAATCGAGTAAAATCCACCAAAAACTGATGGTGGCCTAGAAAACCCCCGAAAACTCGGCCACGGTTTAAAACGCCCTATTTTTTTGGTTGTTAGAGTGAAAACAGCAGGAAATTTGATTTTTTGAGTCAGAAAATGCCAAAAATCAGTGAAAAATTTAGGAAAATGGCAGAGAATTGATGGTGGCCTAGAAAACCCCGAAAACTCGGCCACGGTCTCAAATGTCCATTTTTTTGGGTTATGGAGTGAAAAATGGCAGGAAATTTGATTTTTTGAGCCAAAAAACGCTAAAATTTGATAGAAAATAAAGAAAATTGAGTAAAAACTGATGGTGGCCTAGAAAACCCCGAAAACTCGGCCACGGTTTAAAACGCCCTATTTTTTTGGGTTATGGAGTGAAAAACAGCAGGAAATTTGATTTTTTGAGCCAGAAAATGCTAAAAATCGAGAAAAATTGTGTAAAATCAAGAAAAAACTGATGGTGGCCTAGAAAATGCTCGGCCACAATCATAAAATCGAGTTTTTTCGAATTTTTTTTGCGGTATAGACTAAAAAATAGCGGGAAATTCGAATTTCGAATTGAAAATTCACAAAAAATAGCCAGAAACTCTGAAAAGCATCCGGTGGCCTAGAAATTGCAAAAACTCGGCCACGCTTCTGTAGATTGTCATTTTAGGCAATTTTCAGCTATTTTTTTTAAATTCCAAGGCTAATTTCAGGTCTAAAAGTTGATTTCCCACTTAAAAATCTCGTTTTCCAGCAAAAAATTTTCAGCCGAAAATTCAAAAAAAATTTGAATTTTTAGCGATTTTTACCTTTTTTGACCTCAAATTGCTCATCGTTAATTTCAGAGTCAGAATCCGGGGTTACATAATCAAAAAAACGAACTGGTTTTCGTTTCCTTCCAGAAGTTCTCGGCAACATTTTTGTTTCTGAAAATTTCTGGAAAAATTAGAGACATTGAGATTTTTTGAAATTTTAACTCGAATTTTTATGCGAAAAAATGTATTTATTAGAGTAAATTTTATAAGAAAAGGAGGAAAATCAATGAAAATTGAAAAAAGGAGAAACGAGATTTGCTGGCCGAGTTTCTGCAAAAACTCGGCCACGGCCAGCCGCGGCCGCTGGGGTCGGCCAGCAGTGTCCTCGTTGCTGCGTGTGGTGTCTTGTGGATGGGAAATTGAAGAAAAAATCTGGAAAAATCTAGAAAAAAGAAAATTTTCATTTTTTTTTTTTTTCATTTTTTTCAATGCCTCTTTTGCTATTTTTGCCTCATTTTACCTAATTTTTTGTGATGAATTTTTTTTCCAGATTTTTATTTCTGTTTTTTCTATTCGTTTCCTTTCCAAATTCTATGTTTCTTACTCTCGAAAACCCTTTTTAATTCCTCTAAAAATTAATGAAAATTTCCATGTCCGCAATTGCGCGTCGCCGTGTTTGCGGCCAATGCGTCATAATTCATTATTTTTTCGGGCGCGAGCCCGCCTTTTGGCTCATTTTCCTTCGATTTTCCTCGATTTTCTTGGATTTTTTTGACAAATAAAAGTTGAAAATCGATTTTCTTTGATTTGAACTTCATAAGAATGTTCTTAAGCTCAATTTTCAGCGAAAAAAAGGTTTTAATCTAATTTTCCACCTGCCGGCATACGTCATTGTGTGTTTCCCCGACACACATACACCTTTATGTCAATAAAATGCTCTTTTTCTGTGCTCCCTCTCTTTTCCTTTTTATGGCTGATATGCTCGCCGTTGTTTGTTTTGCACCAAAATGTAGTTTTATGTGTGTAAACTACAAGTTCTGAAAACTTCCAGGAGTTAAAATCCTCGAAAAACACGATTTTTCGCATGTTTTGTGTAGAAAATTCGGGATTTTCGAGGCTTTTTGACCCGTAATAGTCATTTTTGGGGGGTTTTTCTATTTTTTGGCTTTTAGCAATTTCTGAGTCATCAAGAAATTGCGAAATCTTAAGAAAAAGTCTTAAGAAATTGTTTTTTTCTTGATTTTTGTTTTTTAACCAAAAAATTTGAGAAAAAATTGAAAAAAAAAAATTTTTCTGAAATTTTCAGATTTCCCGCCCATTTTACCCCTTTTTCCTGCATTTTTCATGTCCCAAAACCCCCAAAATTTTGCTCTAAACCCTCGTTTTCCACCGATTTCCTCTCGAAAATTCAAATTTCCCGCCAAATCAAAAATTTTTTTTTCCAAAATTTCCAGAAATGGCATGGGCGAATTCGGGCATGCAAGCACTGATTCCGGTGATCAATCGGGTCCAGGACGCATTTTCTCAGCTGGGGACCAATGTGAACTTTGAACTACCACAAATCGCCGTCGTTGGTGGACAATCCGCCGGAAAATCGTCGGTTCTGGAAAATTTTGTGGGAAAGTTAGTCCTAAAATTGCTTAAAATAGGCTTAAATTGGCTGAAAATGACCAAAAAAACTGAAAAAATGGCGAAAAATGAGCCTAAATAGTCGAAAATCGGCTGAAATTAAGCCAAAATCAAATTTTCAACTGTTGGCCTACAATCCGGAAATTTGGATTTCTAGGCCACCAAAACTAAAAATGGCTGAAAATAAGCTGAAAATCGTTAAGAATACTGAAGAAATTGGCTAAAAATCGGTTGAAAATGGTCCAGAAATGACCCAAAATCAAATTTTCAACTGTTGGCCTAGAAATCCGGAAATTTGGATTTCTAGGCCACGAAAAACAAAAAAATGACTCGAAATAAATTTAAAATGGCTTAAAATAGACAAAAAATGGCTTTAAACACTGAAAAATCGGCCGAAAATGACCCAAAAACTATCAAAAACCAAAATTTCCAACTGGTGGCCTTGAAATCCATAAATTTGGATTTCTAGGCCACCAAAACCAAAAATGGCTTAAAATTGGCTGAAAATCATCAAAAATGCTGAAAAAATTGGCTAAAAATCGGCTGAAAATGACCCGGAATCGAATTTTGAAACTGGTGGCCTTGAAATTCGGAAATTTGGATTTCTAGGCCATCAGCTTAAAATTCGATTTTGGACCATTTTGGATAATTTTTGGTGCTTTTTGCAGAATTTTGGACCATTTACAGCCAATTTTTCGACAAAAAAAACGCTCTAAAAATGACATTCTTTAATGAAAATGACTGGAAAGTGTCTCAAATTGACTGAAAATGGCTAAAAATGGTCATTTTCAGTCGATTTCCCGACTGCCACGTCGCTGATTGGCTGGAAATGATAAAAAAATTGGCTGGAAATGATCAAAAATGGTCCAAAATCGAATTTTAAGCTGATGGCCTAGAAATCCAAATTTCCGAATTTCAAGGC